GAGGGTCCTCTATAGATATCAAGTAAGTGTTGTATATTCATAAAAAATAATTTTTATTTTTAATTTGATGTGTAAACTCCACCTGCATTACTCACTACGTGGATCGAGTAGCTTGGAGGGTGATGTTGCCGGTCCCAAGCCCGGATAAAGGAGGAGGGTTGTAAAAATAAAAATAAGCTCAAAGAACCGGTGACGAGCCTCGGACTTGGACAGAAAATATGGGAACGACAAAGGTGAGAAAAAGGACGACGAACTGGAAAACGAAGAATATAATGAGAGTGGCGACGTGGAACATAAAAAGCCTAAATAACCGAGATCAGGAAATAGAAAAAGAGTTGAGAGAATATCAAACTGCCCTACAGGAAACAAAGAGGAAAGGTAAAGGACAGGCGCGGCTTGGGAAAATTTACTAATATATAGTGGGGTTCCGAAACAAGAAAGAGCAAAGAAAGGTGTAGCAATAACGATCAAAACAAAATTTAAAGATCAAATTAAAGAGTACCAGTACATATCTCAGAGAATACTTTTAGTAAAAATTAAGGCGAACAGCAAAATTATTAACATAATAGGGATATATGCACCAGAAGACTGCAAACCTGACAGCGATAAAGAAGAATTCTATGATGAGCTACAAACATTGAGTGGAAAGAAAAGTGAAGTAAAATGAATTATTTATATTATTGGGAGATTTCAATGCCAGAATAGGAGACGAAGTAATACCAGGAATAAAACAAAGGTTTAACGAAAGAGTTATCAATGAAAACAGAAAGAGAATGGTGGAATTCTGCACATCAAACGAACTGAGAATGACCAACACATTTTTTGATCATAAAATTCAACACAAATATACGTTTGAAAATACAAGAGGACATAGATCATGATAGATTATGTGGCCACAAACAGAAATATTCACCATAAACCGATAGTGGATGTGAGAAGTTTGACGTCAACTATTGTGGGAACCGACCACTATTTAGTGTTTGGTAAAATTAGATTCAATGAAAGATGGAAAGAGAAGCTTAAACAAACAAATAAAAATAGAAAATTTAAGAGATGACTCCATAAAATCATTACATCAAAAAAGGCTAGAACAATAAATACAAATGGAGAATATCGAAAATGAAAGCAATGTAGAGAATAGCTGGAGAAAACTTAAGAAAAATATTCTGGATGCTGCCCGAGAAGCCCTTGGAACCAAAATAATAAATAAAAAGTGGTCAACGAAAACACCATGGTTTACAATAGAGGTTAAACAAAAATGTCACCAAAAAAAGAAAGCTTTGCTAAAATATAAGTCAAAAAAAACGAATGAATCATATGAAGAATATAAAAGAATAAGAACTGAAACTCATCAATTGGTAAGAAAAACAGAAACAGATTATTGGGAAAGATTCACAAAAGGACTAGAGATGGATTTCTATGGACAACAGAAACAAGTATGGTGCTTCATAAGACAACAAAGAAACGAAATGAAAGAACTAGTTGAAATAGAACACATACAAGAGGATACATAGGTGGCCTTCCTGACAGAAATGTTTAAAAGACAAAACAAAGAACCTTTACAGAAACGCCAAATATAATAACTGAGGAAAAGACCGAAATCACCCAAAACGATGTGAAAGAAGAAATAAACAAATTAAAAAACAGAAAGTCACCAGGTGAAGATCAAATACCAAATGAACTCTTAAAATATGGAGGTGATTACCTTGTACAACAACTGCAACTTCTTATTAATAAAATAGTCACCACGAACAGAATACCAGATGAATGGAGGAGAGCGATCATGGTGATGTTCTTCAAAAAAGGAGATAAGAAAGACCCCAATAATTATCGAGCAATAAATCTTTTAAATACAACACTCAAATTGGCAACAAGAATAATAGCGACAAAAATAAACGAACGAATATCTCTGCAAGAGGAACAGCAAGGATTTCGGACAGGAAGATCATGCACGGATGCAATTTTTGTAATAAGACAAATAAAAGAAAAGTCGCTGGAATACAATAAACCAGCATATATGTGTCTGATAGATTTGAAGAAAGCGTTTGATAGAGTGAGAATTCGGGACGCGATACATTTATTATACAGGGTGAGTCATGAGGAACTTTACATACTTCTACCATATGTAGAGTCCCTCAGGGAGCATATCATGTGGCCACTAAAAAATGTCAACTCCTCTTCTTTATTAATTAACAGGGTGATTTGTGTAATTGACCATTTATTTCATTTTACTGTAGTGTTTATACGGCTCATTTGATTTTTTTAATTTTTGCATGATACAGTACACTACTATTAAGCATTCGACTGGTATTAGCTAAACTAAAAAATTTCAGGACTGGCTTTGGAAAAAATTAATTTAGGGATTCGTATTAAATATTACACCTTGTATATATATATAAATATATATATATATATATAATTATATATTTAAAATGCAATAAGTGATTTTCAAACTACATAAATAGCCAATGGAAAACGACATAATGCGACAATGTTGTCGCACTTTTATTAAATTTTTAGTGAACGATCAAATCTTACCAAAAATGGAACAACCATAATGAAGTATCAAATTATAAGGTATTAATTTAAACAAATGTTATAAATTTCAAACATTTTAATTAAAATGAGTTCCTACAACATAATCTAATACGTAGAAAATTAACATCTTTACTGTCACTTTGTATTATCTCTACGATAGAATCAATTGTTGTTCAATTTTAAATTTTTACTCATAGATCGTATTGGGAAATTATTTTCGATAAATAATAAATTAAATTAAAATAAATCTAAAACAGTTTAAAATGAAGGTTGGCGTTGACCGTTTGACGTTTCTTGATATTTTATACCCATATTTCTTCTGTCATATCTACGTTAAGTACATTGTGTTAGTTTTGGTAGAGCTTTTGTTACTTTCGTTCAAAATGCCACATCAGTTTTCGACCACAGAATATGCAGACATAATATTTGTTAATGGGAATGGTAGGGCTGCTAGTAGAGAATATCCATCGAACTCCCAGTCATCCAACATTTGGGTCAGTTTTTAATTATTTGCGAGAAAATGGCACTTTTTCTAGTGGAACAACAGAGCGACATGTAGATGAAGCGCAGGAAGATGACATTATGGACGCCGTTACTATGAACCCTACAATAAGCACTAGACAAGTAAGTTGAGAACTCAATGTTACTCAATCAAAAGTAAGTAGAGTCTTACAAAAAAAATAATCTATACCCATATCACATTCAAATGGTTCAGCGACTACATGCTGGAGATGAGATCGATAGGTTGGAATTTTGTAGATGGATTAACAATAATCGACCAACGCTATACAGGACACTATTTACAGATGAAGCCCAATTTACCAGAGACGGGATAAATAATCACGAAATTCACATGTGTGGGCAGAAGAAAATCCCCATGCTATTCGAGAACGTCGTTCTCAGTTAAGGTTTTCGGTTAACGTGTGGATTGGTGTCATAAATAACCAATTAGTAGGTCCTCACTTTTTTGATGGTCCTTTAACAGGGCAGGTCTATTTGAACTTTCTACAAAATATTTTGCCGAATTTGCTTGCCAACGCGAACGTTGCTATCCGAGGGATGTATTTTCAGCATGATGGGGCACCCCCACATTTTTTACTGGCAGTGAGACAACATCTCAATAATGTTTATGGCAACAGGTGGATAGGACGTGCAGGTCCTATTTCGTGGCCTTCAAGATCCCCTGATTTCAATCCCGTCGATTACCATATTTGGGAACGATTGAAGCAACTAGTTTACGCAGTGAATATTAATAACCGACAACAATTAATTGATAGAATTATACATTGTTGTAATACTATTAGAAACGATCCAGAGAGTGTCCGTAATTCAATACGTCAATTAACAATTCGGCAACAAAAATGTGTACAGGCTGCAGGTTTCCATTTCGAAAATCTATTTTGAATTATTTTTATTTTGTTACCAGTATTGTATCTTTTCCAGTTCTAATTTATGGGTTTATCATAACTATGTACATATTTTTAGTTTTTTTTTAATTGTTCTTCGTTATTGTTAGTAGTTACTGTTTTTTGATGTGCAGCGACTCAGTTTATCATTTCAATTAAAATGTTTGAAATTTATAACATTTGTTTAAATTAATTACCTTATAATTTGATACTTTATTATGGTTGTTCTATTTTTGGTAAGATTTTATCGTTCATTAAAAATTTAATAAAAGTGCGACAACATTGTCGCAAATGTCGTTTTCATTGGCTATTTATGTAGTTTGAAAATCACTTATTGCATTTTAAAAAATATATATACAGGGTGTAATATTTAATACGAATCCCTAAATTAATTTTTCCAAAGCCAGTCCTGAAATTTTTTAGTTTAGCTAATACCAGTCGAATGCTTGATAGTAGTGTACTGTATCATGCAAAAATTAAAAAAATCAAATGAGCCGTATAAACACTACAGTAAAATGAAATAAATGGTCAATTACACAAATCACCCTGTTAATTAATAAAGAAGAGGAGTTGATATTTTTTAGTGGCCACATGATATGCTCCCTGAGGGACTCTACATATGGTAGAAGTATGTAAAGTTCCTCATGACTCACCCTGTATGAAAAGGGAATATCACTGGATTTAGTAAAAACTAGTGAGAATATATATAAAGATAACATAGCTATGGTAAGATTTAATGGAAAACTATCGCAACCTATCAAATATGAAACTAGCATTAGACAAGGAGATTCGCTGAGCCCATTAATATTTAATCTGATAATGGATGAAATCATAAAAAAAGTTAAAAAAGAAGAGGATATAGAATGGGAGAAAAGGAAATAAGGATAATATGCTACGCCCATGGCCTACAAAGATGGCCTACAACGATTAATTAAAGAATTCGAAGATTTCAAAATGCTTATCAATACAATATTTACAAGGTTTATTACATTTCAAAAAGTATGTTTTGCACTATACCTGATTCGTGTATGTTTTAATTGTAACATATTTTTCCAGAGTTATGCCGACGAAGGGCATCTATTAGAGGGCGTGATAGAACACGTCTACAATTCTATGCAGAATTTTTTTGAAGAGTGCCTTAACCTCGACACCGACGAAAAAGCCAAGGAGCGAGAGGAGAAGAAAGAAAAGGAGGAAGATTAGTAAGCACGAACGGACAAGTTAACAAAGAGGGCGATGCCGATATCACTATTGAAGACTGCAGACTGAGATCGCCTCTGGCTTAGTGAATTAGTCCGATGGGTTCAGGAGTGGTCAGAGAGGCGGTCGTTCGTTACGTAAGACGTAGTAGGATTGATAGTATTCTCTACTCCTCGGGCAGGTCTTACTAAAGTACCTTACAAGTTTTGGATTTGCTTAATTTCTTATTTAAAATTTGAATTAAAATAAGATATTAGCAGACAATGTTTACTGGTATTAAAAAGTATGAAGTCACTCTTTGTATTTATTACTTTTTACAAAATACATGTTGCACAATATTTACCTAACAACAATCAAAATAATTAATAAAAGATTTCTTTTAAACGCATTTCCTTAAATTATTATTAACAAATATGTCTATTTTTCACTTACTACTAATTTCACTATTTTTTCAGATATTATCTTTATTTCTTTCACATTTTTTTTCAAATTTATACACATAAATACATTGTTACAAATTATTTATGAATTTTTCATCCAAATTTCGTCCTAGGACGACTTTATTAGAGGATAGTTCATTTGATTACAAGAAAATAGCTTTTACTTAAGAATACCCTTCGAAAAAATGTAAGCATAAGATTTGTCTTTGAAAAGACAACCACATTTAAGTATTACAGTAAAATTCTCCTGGAAGTAATACCATAGTAAATCATGAAGAAAAAACCTCAATGACTCTATCCCAACATGGTAAATATTTGGTGTTACATTTAGTTTACTCTCAATATTAACATCAAACTCTAATTTTATATGTGGAGGAAAGGCGGCAAATTCGTACCCCCAATTGGTTTTTAATCAATAACTTTTGTACCGGGTGGTCCAATAAGCCGATCTCTCGGCTATATATCAGATACTATTCATGTTATAGCTTTAGGAGAAAAAATTCCTTAGTAAAAGTGGCCAAGAGAAATCGCTGGAAATAACTTTCAAGATTCTGGATTAACCGCTAGGGGGCGTAACCTGCGAAGAAAATTTTGAAAACCAGTTTTTTGTGAAATATTCCTAATTATACCAAGTGTTAAATAAGTAAACTAGAAAGGGGCATATATTTTGCACAAAGTTGTTCAAGTACTTTTTTTATTTTTTCAAATAAAGGGTGGGGGAGAGTGGGAAAGTATTTGTGGATAAATACCTATAACTTTGGTTTGGATCAACCGATTTTAATGAAATTAGTGTTATTAGAAAGAGTGTGGATAATTAATTCACATCTACTATAAAATACTTGCATTTAGTTTTAATAGTCGTAGGTAGAGGGGACTTTCAAATAAAAAAATTAAAATTTGTTTTTCTTTAAAATTTTTAATGGAAACACCTATTTATTGTAAATTATAATGGAATTGGATTAAATTCGTAACAAAATGGAGCAAACCGCATGTTAATAGCATTTGTTGAACCCAAGATATGAATAAAAACTCATAAACATAAGTAAGTATAGTATTGACACACCCTGTATTATAAAATAAATTAAACAATAAGTCAGTAGGTACTTTCAAAAATTTTTATAGCAGAAAACACTTAATGTTGATACCTATTTTGACCATTGTTATTTCATATGATTAAAAATTGTTTTTTCGAAACTCAGTAGGCCAGGACAATGAATTTGAAGGGAAGTTCATATTGTTTATTTATTGACAGCAGTCAAAACATTGTTAACAAGTGCTATATTATAATTCGAATTAAAGGTTGTACTTTTTTCAATAGATATTAATATTGGTAATATTAGTAATTAATTATCAGTACAAATAATTCGTGATGAGTATATCAAATTGTATGATTTGATTGGAGTTTATTTCGAATGTCACCAAAATGCCGCTATTGCCTCACGTATATATTTTGTAAGATATCCTGACAGGAGACATTATGGCAAAGAAGTATTTGAAAGAAAGGCAAAAAGATTAAGAGAAACTGGTAGTTTTTCTCGTCCTTGTTTTAAACGACGTAGTAGAGTTATGACCGAAGATAATTCAATCAATGTTCTTGCTTTAATTCAACAGAATCCACATATAAGTAGTCCGAAATCTCTACTTCTTTGCCACAATGTCTCCTGCCAGGATATCTTACAGAATATATACGTGAGGCAATAGCGCCATTTTAGTGATATTCGAAATAAACTCCAATCATATCATACAATTTGATATACTCATCACGAATTATTAGTACTGATAATTAATTACTAATATTACCAATATTAATATCTATTGAAAAAAATGCAATTTTCAATTCGAATTATAATGCATATAACACTTCTTAACAATATTTTGACTGCTGTCAATAAATAAACAATATGAACTCCCTGTCAAATTCATTGTCGTAGCCTTCTTAGTTTCGAAAAAATAATTTTTAATCAAATGAAATAACAATGGTCAAAATAGGTATCAACATTAAGAGTTTTCTGCTACAAAAAATTTTGAAAGTACCTACTGACTTATTGTTTAATTTATTTTATAATACAGGGTGTGTCAATACTATACTTACTTATGTTTATGCGTTTTTATTTATATCTCGAGTTCGATAAAAGCTGTTAACATACGGTTTGCTCCATTTTGTTACGAATTTAATCCAGTTCCATTATAATTTACAATAAATAGGTGTCTCCATTAAAAATTTTGAAGAAAAACAAATTTTAATTTTTTCTATTCGAAAGTACCCTCTACCTACGACAATTAAAACTAAATGCAATTATTTTATAGTAGATATAAATTAATTCATCCATACTCTTTCTAATGATGCTAATTTTGTTAAAATCGGTTGATCCAAACCAAAGTTATAGGTATTTATCCACAAATACTTTCCCACTCTCCCCCACCCTTTATTTGAAAAAATAAAAAAAGTACTTGAACAACTTTGTGCAGAATGTATGCCTCTTTCTAGTTTACTTATTTAACACTTGGTATAATAGGACATATTTCCCAACAAACTGGTTTTCAAAATTTTCTTCGCAGGTTACGCCCCCTAGCGGTTAATCCAGAATCTTGAAAGTTTTTTCCAGCGATTTCTCTTGGCTACTTTTACTAAGGAATTTTTTTTCCTAAAGTTATAACATGAATAGTTTCTGATATATAGCCGAGAGATTGGCTTATTGGACCACCCGGTAGTAAATCAGTTTAAATTTCAATTTGAGAACAAAGCTAACATTATCGGAATAATTTTTCTTACTTTAAAATATTCTAAAAATACATGCTAAGTACATAACTGGTAATTTTTGCAAAAGTTTACAAAATATAAACTCAGAACCCGCTTTTTACTCGTATTTCGTACCCCCTAGAAATCTAATGAATTATGATTGGTGTAAAAACAATTTTTAGTTAAACAAATAAATTTATTTCAGTTTAAAATTAGATTGATTAACAAACTGTGAACAAATCTGACTTTTAAGTGACAAATACAAAAATATCAAAATAAATTAGCTTGTTCTCTAATAAAAGGCATAGGCCTATGATTGTTTTAAGTTTGAATCTAGTTTACTGGCAGAATTCGAATATGTATCATGGTTTTCCGTACTGGTATAATCAACATTATACCAGTGCACAAGATTGACACATTAAGTATTTGATCCACTGTTCACCCGTAACTGATTTGGACCATTGTTCGTTGCAGAACATGCACGTTACATCAGATTCATCCGGTATTTGTCCTGGTCCTACAATGAAATCGATTGAATAGATTGATTTCAGAGACAAATAATCTTGGTCCTTTGAAGATGAAGATCCATTGTATATTACACAATTACTCAAGACCTGAGAGCTAGGTTTATGCTTTTTACACTCTTTCTGTAAGTTTGCTTTATTTTCAGCCTCCAACATCTTCTTGTTTGTTTCAGTCTTCTTTAATTTTTCTTTGGTCTTTTTATGTGTTTGATCTTTTTTTCCTGACAGAACATTTTTAGCAATGTCTGCCTTTATGTCTGCTTGATAAGACGACGAAGTGATTATGGCCGACTTCCAAGGCTTGTGACCTCTTTCAGATAATTTTTTATCGGTTTTGGCACAGGTAAGATTTGAAAGGGGCTTATATAAACTGGAAAAGGATTTAAAAGAGAACTGGACGAGGGAAATGGCACCTGGACGAGCTCATTTTTACAACTGAGTTGTAAAACAACATTCATGTATTTCCGAGAAAATATCAGCACTATAGTCGCCACCAGCACTCATACAGACTACAATTGTTATCAAGGCACCTCTTTCTGCTGATGTAAGAGAGCCTACCTGTCTTTTTCCTCGCAGATCAATGACTGATTCTACTTCACTCTGAACTAGTGTAAGGTTGAATCAACGTTGAACATTCTGCTTGCTGGATAGCTGTGCTTTTTAAACGCATATTCAATAACGCATAAGTTGTCAAAAAACATTGACACAGTTTCTTTGTTGAAACCTACAGCTCTTGCAAATGAGGTTTCAATTGGGTTACGAATTATGGTTACTTATGGGGTAATATGGGTTACTTATGCCATTCCTCTCAGCACGTGATAGGCTATCTGCCGAAGGTCTCGCATAGTCAAAACAAAAATGTAGATTTTAGACCAAACAATACTTAACCAACTGTTCACCCAATTCGGGAGGAAAGATAGTAGGCCTTCCTGCCCTAATAGAAGCTGCTTTTGCTGGTTCTTTATATTTTTCCATTGAAAAATGCACCAAATTAAAAATAAAAGGGGCCCGAATTAAAAACTTCAAGGGAATTATTAAATAACACATGCAAATCAAAACTAACCTCAGTAAAAACTTTGCGAAAGAATTGTTTTTTCGTCACTTTAACCACTACATTAACTTATTTACTACATACTATGTTAGTGTTTTGAAAAAAATTGATTGAACTTGAAAAAGTATTCAATATATTGAAGAACAATTTTTTTATTCAATAAACCAAACGCCTTCATTCACTATCAACACATATACCTAATATTTATAAAACAGCATACATTCTGCGACCACAAATAAAACACCCTA